ACCACCCATATTGAAGCTGCCCAGATCTAAGCATGGAGGCCTCTCTGGCACTTCTAACCAAATCATAAATGTTGCCATTAAAATATCTGTTTTAATTCAGGTCTCAGAGTCATAGCTAGTAAACAAGAATGGGAAGGAGAAATTGAAAAACAAACTGAATGCAGCTGCTCACAGCTCTATTTAATGGCATCCCTTAATTTCTTTTCTGAGTAGGACCCATACAAGACTGAACCTGATGCCACTGACTCACACAACCTACTTTTCCCTCTTAATTCACTTTTAGAGTTATTTCATCATGTACATATTACATTGCTTTTAATGTGGACAACAGGTCTGGTTTGTTCTTGAATTTTGATGTCCAGGAAATTTTAACAGCTCTGTCATCTAAAAATATGCTTCTCTAAAAAAGAAACTAATAAATTTATTTATATTCTTAGTATAATACAGGTAAAGATTAGAGGAAGATTAGGTTTTAAAAAAATCAATGTTTTTTGTTTTAATGAACTTCCCTAAACTTATAAACACTATGGTTATTATTGCCCACCCTACAGTCCCTATGAAAAATCCTTTAACCAAATAGACTATTACAAGGGCAAAAGAGTTAAAACTTATTAGTATAAATTTAGAAGTATGAAAAAAATTAAAAATATGTATGGATACATGTAAAGAAAAACTGGAGAATGTCACTGGAGGATCTATAAGTTATATTAATATATGTTCAGAAGCTAACAAAAATAATTCAGCCAGAGAACAAAAAACTGCCTCATTTTATAACATAAGTAAATTTACAGAGAAATAATTATACAAAGGTTGACAGAAAATTCATCATATTTAAATGGAATAAATAACATCTACTAAGGCCATGGTCGGCAAACTATGGCTCGCGAGCCACATGCGGCCTTTTGGCCCCTTGGGTGTGGCTCTTCCTAAGCCTTAAGAGTACCCTAATTAAGTTAATAACAATGTACCTACCTATATAGTTTAAGTTTAAAAAATTTGGCTATCAAAAGAAATTTCAATCATTGTACTGTTGATATTTGGCTCTGTTGACTAATGAGGTTGCCGACCACTGTACTAAGATATCCATGCATTTACAAATGGCAACGCAGCTTCTTGACTCAAATAGTTCATATGTATGTATTTCTATCTTGATCTGGGAGGGTTGGCTAAAATGAGAAACATGACACGAAAACTTGACAAATAAAATGTCACCTAATGTTAGGAGCTAGATAATAGGTGGCAGCCATAGCCATTCTCTGGTAGGCAGCTTTTAAAAACACACACACACACACACACAAGGCTTTCACATCATTGAGAATTAAATATTTTATATACACACTTGTGCCATACTCAAGCAATATCAGTCATATTCTGAATAGTAAAAATACTAAGAGCTGAACAGTAAATAACCAAGATAAATTGTAAGCAAATGTATGAAATCTCTGCCTACCAGCATCTATATTTTGCAGACCAATTTTGTGAGTGGTTGCTGAGTTATGAACCCTCCATTTAATTCAAATATTTAAACAGGTACAAAGCATTTATAAAACATTGCAGAAATGACGACGCATTGAAATATCTCTACCACATAAGAAATTGATCAGTCCTTGGTATAGATTCTGCTTCACAATTTATGTTGAACGTGCAATATTTTTCTTGCCTCTTTCACTCAACTAATATTTCTTTATATGCCAGGCACTGAATCATTATTTCCTAGCTAATTATCTTTTAGGTTCCAGTTTAGAACTGAATTCCCCTTGAAAAATGTTGCCCAATAATCAAAGACCAAATTAATAGTCATCTCATCTTCTAGTAGGCTCTCCTAACTCCACAAAGCATTCTCCTTCCTTAAGTCCCTATCACACCAGCAGACTCCATGGGTGTTGACTCTCTCTGAATCACCATGACTGAGCCAGGCAATGTGAATGGAGTCTCTAGTTAAAAGAAAGAGTTAGTTCCTAATGCGTTGGGTGAAAATCATGCCAAGGGTTACTCTTTTTGATAATGGACTCAAACATTTTTAGTGCCAGGAACTTTTTAACAATACGGTAAAGCCTAGAAACCTCTTTCAAAGACTAATATTTTTTAAAAGACCAAGTAAAATACTTAAAATATATGATTTTTATTCATAGATTAAAATATAGGCTTTACCATAATTTTGAACCATAAAAAATATTTAGAGAGTAACATAAAAAGAAATGTGCAATTGAGGCATACAAAGAGAAGAAGGAAGTGCATATTAGTAAGTAAAAGAAGCCAATCTGAAATGGCTACCTACTGTAAGACTCCAATATATGGCATTCTGCAAAAACCGAAAGTATGGAAACGATGGAAAAAATCAGTGGTTGTCGGGGTTCAAACAAAGCGGGGAGGAATGAACAGGCAGAGCAAAGGGGACTTTTAGGGAAGTGAAACTATACGGTGTAGTATTATACTGGTGGATACATGTCACTATATATTTGTCAAAACCCACAGATTATAAACCAAGAGTGAATCCAAATGTAAACTGGAACTCAGGCTAACTAGGCTAACAAATATTTAAAGATAAATCTTATCATAAAAACACAAATTGGGGAGTTCACACAGAATTCAAAGGCAAATGCAGATCAAAGTTAGGAAACCAAAGGAAAGAAACAATAGTTTTCTAGCGTTAATTGCTAGACAATGATAGGGATAACTACATTCTTTATGTTATATAATATGTTCTTATTACGAAAGAAAGTTATAGACAGGAAAAAATACAGCTTCCAGTGTCTGAAGCATTCTGACTAGGGTAATGTGAAATATACATTAATACAAAGGAGATCTGACATAACAGATGGCCTATAAAATGAGTCATACTGGTTACTCCAAGTAGAGTGCTATAAGGAACAGAACTTCCAGACTCTTTCTTCAATTTTAACTTAATTCCCACAACATTCAGAGTACTTCAATAAATCATTGTCTTCATTAATTAAATCAACCCTACTGATCAACAATCACTATAAAAATCTTCCTCTCTATCAAAAATGACTAATTAAGATATTAGAAGAAAGATTATTCAAAGTATTCTATATTATCCGCTTACCATCATTCTTTATTTCAGAAGAAAGGAAAGATGGATCTTTCCATCAAGTTTAACTAATAGGATCATTTCTGCAGAATAAAATAAAATGGCAGTCTCTTCAGACACATCAACCAAAGAAATAAGATCTAAAAGGATTGTAAATTTATGAAAACTATTTCAGCTCTGAAAGCAAGAAAACAATTTTATTTATGAACAAAGTATTTTTAAAATTAATTCCACTGGAGTAGAATTCTGCCACTGGAAGTATTAAACCAATTCCTAACAATGAAAATCGGTAAATAAAGATAAAGAATTAAGCAATTAATATCTGCTTTTTATATACAGGATAACTGTGATTCATTACTGGTTGATGAAAGAAAAAAATTTTTTTGATAGGATAGCAGATAATCAATGCAGAGAACACAATACAATTAGAAAAACCACCATTATAATACAGCCTTCAATGTAACAAAACTATTAAGTAAAAAGTTGTTTCAGCAATGAGGCCAAAATAACACTCTGCAGATTACTTGCTAATCTCCACAAGAGAAACCTCTCTCCAATATGCAGACATTCGATGATGGGTCACTAACTTCTCCTTGTGATCACAGTATCATAAATTGCAAGACAACCTGATATTATATGTCTCTTGTTGGGATGAAATGTTGTAGACAGAAAAACTTAAGATGTTAAAAAAAAATCCTTAGCTTGAATGTCATTTAAAAGCCTCTTTAGGAAATAAGGAAAACATTACTATAATGAAAAAAAAATATGACAAGTACAGAATTTGCATCAGATAACTGGTCTGGGCACTGTAAAAAAGAAAAGGTGGACATTATTAGTTGGATTAAGAGGACCTAAAGAGACATGACAAAATGTAAGAAGTGAACTTTAATTAGAACTTAGTTTGAAGTAGCTGGAGAATTCACTTTTGAAACCATTGGGGTTTTGTTTTTTTTAATCCTCACCCAAAGATATGTTTATTGTTTTTAGAGTGGGAAAGGGAGAGGGGAAGAGAGAGAGAAAAAAAGGAAAAGAGAGGGAGACAGAGAGACAGAGACAGAGAGAAACATGCACTGGTTGCCTCCCAAATGTTTCCCGACTAGGGGAACCTCAACCTTTTGGTGTATGGGATGACACTCCAACCAACTGAGCTATCCGGCCAGGGAAATTTTAAATTTGGTTTGGATATTAATAATATAGTATGTTAGTTTTCTGAATATATAATTTTTTGTTATATAGAAAGGGGTCTTTATTCTTAGGAAATGCATAGTTCATTTGTAATGGGTGAAATGTTATAATATATGAAACTTACATTCAAGTGGTTCAGCAAAATACACATACATATATAATATATACATTAAAATGTGAACACTTGTTTAATCAAGGTAGTGATAAGTGGGTCATTATTATACTAACCTTTATATCTGTTTTTATGTTTGAAGCTTTTTATAATAAAAAGTTGGGGGGGGGGTTGACAAAAGATAATAGGGCATTCCACATTGCTTTAACATCTCTCTTTACCAAATGCTTTAAGAACCAGAAAAACAAAAACACTACAAGAAAAGGAGAAAAAATATAAGTAAACTAGTTTATAAAATGTGACATTAAAAAGAAACTTTAAGTTACAAAGAAAATTCCATTCGCATACATTAATATGTTGATTGAAATAACTGAAGTTCTTGGCTTAATTGTAATTCAGAAATTAATGCAACTCAACAACACTGTTTACCGACTGCTGCTTTCACCATGGTATTGTGAATAAAGCTAATGTTTACAGGGTATCTAAGTTTTATTATAAATTCATTCATTTAATAACCAGTTACTGAAACTATTTACTTTTCTTATATACACTGGCACATAGAAGAAAAACGAGATTCGTGTTTTAGATATTCCATTTTCAAAAAAATCAAATTGGAAAGCCCATGATACAAATGGGGAGAAACAAACATACCACTTGTGTTAAAAGCCATACAGCACACTGGTTTTTCATGAGCCGGGAAGTGGGCCACAATACCATCACTGTCAGAATCCTCACTCAAAAGCACCTTTACAAAAATAAAGAGGCAAATGGAAGTTAAGCTTTAATCACCAATTACTGAGTTTGAAGATATACACAGTTACACCACAATGTCCATGACCAAATAACATGCTTCCATTATATTGTAAGATTATTCTTGCCACTAAAAAGTGAAAATACCACTTCACGAATGAGGAAAAGATATAATACAACTCCAGCAGATCAATCATATAAACACTAAACAGTTGGTTAACTTGACTACAGGTGACAGAGACAATCATTTTAGTATCAGAAAGATGGTGAATAAAATTTTATACACCACCAATGTAAACATGAAAATATCTTTATTTATTAAAGGCTCAATGGATTTAAACAGCAAAAGTGGCCCTAACCAGTTTGGCTCAGTGGACAGATTGTCAGCCTGCGGACTCAAGGGTCCCAGGTTCGATCCCGGTCCAGGGCATGTACCTTGGTTGGGGGCACAACCCTAGTAGGGAGTGTGCAGGAGGCAGCTGATCGATGTTTCTGTCTGATCGATGTTTCTAACTCTCTATCCCTAGCCCTTCCTCTCTGTAAAAAAAATAAATAAAATAAAATAAATAAAAGGGAGGACAGTATCACTGAGAAAATCTTGTTGCTTTAAAAAAATATTTATAATTATTTTAAAATGCACATTGCAACTTACCATTTATTAAACATCAAAATATTTCCTGTCTTAAAATGTCTAAGTCGAGTTAAAATTTTAGAATATTTTATAAGTAGGAGTGAAAATAAGATTATGCTCAAACAAATAATAGAAAATAGAACATTTCAAGTTGAATGACACTAACCTAAAAGCTAACATTTCTATGAGTCTTATTTCCTAGTTGTTTCAAGTGTTAACAATGAATGTATCACAGGAAAAATAACTTTTACAACTCCTTAATCTACAGTTCATTTCCATATTCCAAACCTGAGAATTCCATTTTAAAATTATAAAAGGTTACTGAAGAATGGGAGAAGGCAGGGGAGAGGAGGTACGGTGACAAACATTTGAAAACATATGGCCTATTTTTATGCATTTTATGAAATTAGCTTAATTTTTCTTTTAACATATTTCTACACTTACATATAATAAAGTAATGAGTTATATCTCTATTTCATTAGAGATAATAAGACATAACATTTCCTACTTTTCAAATGAGCACAAATCTGTCTGTCAACAAAAGCTAGATGTTTAACAGACGTACATTACACTCCCCACACTAGACAATTCTGAGAAGGGTCGTTACTACTCTTAGTAACTGTGGGTGGCCTTGGAGGTGAATTAATTAAGAATCAAAGAACAAAAGAAAGAAAACATTAAAGGATTCATATATTTAATTCCAATTTAAAAAGAGAAGATCTGTATGTGTCCATCAACTTGAGCTAACCTAACTAAAACAGCTTTTTTTAAATGTCATTACAGTCAACTGAAAACTTTGCTATCACTTCATTGAAAAGAGTCTTAAAACAAGAATATAAGTCTATAACATAGTTGTTTAACAACAAAGTTAAGATGGGCAAGGTGGAGAATTATTATTATTCTGATTTCAATTAAAATATAATAAATTCAAAAATCTCAGAGTTTTTTCTTTTAATTGCAATAGGCTCCACTTTTTTTTTAAATGACAATTGATCTTACTATAGAAATTAGTACATGAGTAGCTGACAAATGCAATTTTTCACAAATGTTGCTTTACTATCTCATTTTAGTAATTGGTATTAGATTATATTTTATAGTAATGATCACAAATTAAATGAATTTTAACATTACTTCCTTTCAGAAATGTATTTAAATCTAAAACTATGATACAAAAGAAGAGATATTTAGTAAGTACATGAGTAAAAAAAACTAAACCCAATGGGTTTCTTATCAACTAGATTAAATGCCAGCATAAGGCATTTTTCCATGTTTAAATCATTTCTCCTGTTTCTGAACTTAAGATTTTAAAAATCTATTTTATCTAAAGATATAGGGTTTTACAATTAGCTATTATCATGTATGTATTCTAACATATACTTTGGGATTTCATGTATTCTTCATATTTAAGGAAATACCTATAATAAAAGTTGATATTATTCACCTGTAACCATCAGAGGCAACCTTTTTTTAAATTCCCTGAAATATGATGTATGATCCTTTTGATCTATGAGCAAATATCTGCCTGTGAAACACATATCCTATGAAGAGATAACAAGAGAATCTCATGGAACCTCAATTTTACCTTCAGGTTTGATGCATTTATAAAATTTGAAATAACAGGTTCTAACATATTATTCATCATTCTTTGGGGGGGGGGGGAGTGGGAAGAATCTAACCTAAAATAACCTTGATTTCTAGAAATCCAAATTAACAACTTACAAGGCCAAGTACATTTTGGCTAATCCTGATCCCAAAGAATATTCTCAGTCAGCCAGCCCTCTGCAGAAAATGGATATTACATGCATCGCAAGTTCTTACCTGGCCCTCTCCAACTGTTTCCGTGTCTATTACGGTGATGATGCCTGGGACCAAAGGACTCCGCCTCGAATTACTATGGATGGCAACATCATCTTCTGTCACACCTGAAGGCAGCGTGCCTGTCAGCTGAGTCACCACTTTCCCAACTATTGTCAGGCCAGTTTTCAAAGTCTATAAGATGAAAGGTAAAATTTATAAATAACTTCATATCAGAATTTTAATTCTGATATGAAGTTATTTGCATTTGTTAATTCTCCAACCCATTAAATTCTCTCTTCTCTTAGGAGCCTATATGTAGCAGTGAACTTCACAGAAATTCAGTCTGACTTTTCATATGACTGTAAATTCAGTATCAGTTTGAGTGAATGGTATCAGTACAGCCCCAAAGTAATCATGGTGAGAATAAAGCCATAGGTAAATAACTAAAAAGCTTTGTTTCAAATGAGAATACAATTATATTTTATAAAAATTATGTTCCCCTCTTCTTTATGTATATAACTTAAAACATGTGACACAGTAAGAAGTAGGATGATTTTTGGATATTACAAATCTAATTTTAAAACTATTTTTTAGCATGGAAATGACTGGGATGATGTGGTAGAATCCTTATGTGAAAAAAGATCATGCTTCCAAAGATAATCTATAATATGCTGTTATATAAGACTGTACATCAGGATCTGGCATGTGAAAAATACAGTCTCCATCCAACATACTAATTACTAGATGAATGAAATATCATATAAAATTAGCAAAGAAGATTCTTTTCTCTCTGATTACAGAAAACAATTCAATATAATGCTTCTAAAATGCAATTTTAATTAAAAATAACTTAAGATGCTTTATAATTACATTTTAGTTCCACTTCATTCAAAGCAAATAGACAAAAATAATGTGTGTGATTATTTTTTATTTTATGGGACTCTCATCTAATTAATCTTATATGCATTACCAAGCAATATGGTTAAGGTAATGTTTGGGGCATTGTCTAAAAGGAAGAAAGCTAGAGCATAAAGAAAATTATGTATTTCATAAACATTGGAAAAACACCTAGTCATTAGAGACTAAATAAGTAATCTAGATTACATGGATATATCAAAAATTATGTATAAGGCACACAACCAGAAATATTTTTCCAGTTCTCACATTGTGAGAAAAGTTCTTATTAAAATACTTCAAATTAATTTTTAATAGGTGACTTTCTCTTTTAAAAATAATTATGGGAAAATAAATGTGGATTTAAACCACAACTAGATTAAATTTCAAAAAGGAAATGTATTTCCCAAAGAAATTTTCCATTAAAACACCACAGGATCAACACTAATACTTTATGCATTATTTTATTGTAGCTATGTTCTATGGAACCTTTACTATGAACTTGGGATTGGTTAAGGCTCTAAACCAGTGGTTCTCAACCTTCCTAGTGTCGCGACCCTTTAATATCGTTCCTCATGTTGTGGTGACCCCCAACCATAAAATTATTTTCGTTGTACTTCATAACTGTAATTTTGCTACTGTAAACAATATGTAATTATATATGTGTTTTCCGATGATCTTAGGCGACTCCTGTGAAAGGATCGTTCGACCCCCAAGGGGTCGCGACCCACGGGTTGAGAACCGCTGCTCTAAACATAAGTGATCTCTATAGATTTCCTCAAACACCTCAGTTTAAGAGAAAACGGAGGCTTCAGAAGTTAAGCACAACACCTAGCCAATGACAAAGCCAGAACTTAAAACTAGGGCTATCTATCTCCTAAGCTTGAATTTAACCTCTCTCCAGTATTTCCTTATAATCTATTCCTGTTACTACTTGTGATCTCATACTTCATGAATTCAGAACACACACATATACTGGGGAGGGGTGAGGGAGGAAGACAATAACACTATATTTTAATAAATACTTAAATGACCACCAAAGCCAAGCAAAAAGATATAACTTACAGCCGACTGAAACCAGAAAAAAAGCCACAAATCAATTTTAACTGTTTTGTTTAGTGCTAAAAACTCAAACTGCAGTGATTATAAAACACAGTAGCGTTCCTCAATTAGCTGCCAAACATTTGTTTCAATAATTCACAAGAAATGACTTACAAAGAGTCTGTTAGATTGTTAAGAAAGCCTCTGAAGGACCAACAAAACCAGGCGCCACGGTGTATTGATGTAGAAGCTAGCCAGGAAGCCTTATTAACCTCTGAGATGCTTCAGCTGATGTACTGACTCCATTAATGCTAATGGAGATGGTCCCACTTAAAGGGAGCTACCCCTTTATCAAAATAATGCCTTTCAGGTTTAAAGTCTTAGCTTGTATAGCCTCTCCATTTGCCCTTGAGCTTATTATTTCATGCTCTTATACCAATGAATAGGAACAAACTAAAACAACTAGAGCACACAGAAAGTGGGAAATAATGTACCAAAGCCAACCACAAGATAAACGGGAAAGTTTACACAAAAGAATTAGGAAAAAACTCAAGGATGGGGGGACCAGGGAAGCAGGGTAGTATATTTCTTAGGCAAGGGCTCATATTACATGAAAGTTACAGTATTTCTCATAAAAAAAATAAGTAATGACTACCAGTGGGGTCATGTTATTAAAATTTAACAGTCATCAAATCTGCACTTTGTATAGTAAATGACAAGATAGTATTATCTATCATAGCTTACTAATAACTTCCAAATAAGGTCTAATGCAGGAAGTGAGAGAGGAGTGCTAGACGTTTTCTACATTAGTAAAGACCTTTGCTTCTAGAAGAAATTTGTTTCCATGTCTCATCGATGAGCAGTAGTGTCCAGAAGCAATATATAATATTATTTAATAATTTTCACATATCACATTTAGATACCTAAATCACCTCACTGTGTAATTAGCCTTTTCACTAGATTTTTAGTAGAAAGGGTACGTGCATACCCGATGATTTTCTCAAATACAACAAAGGCTAAGAAAAAAATTAGGCTAACAATAAATCTAACTAGGCCAAATAGATATGTTAATTTAGGTAGTGTCTTCACAATCTGGGGTATCTAAACTCAAAAGTTCATTATATATATATGAATAATTTTAAGAGTAATCATAGAACTATCTGTAAAAAAACTGAACGTAAGTTTATAATGAATATGAGATAATCCACTATGACCAAAAATTCGAATCAGCATAGTACTCATTCCGTTCTGTTGCAGACAGACTTGCCAAAGGGTCACTAGGCATCTTTAACCTTTCTCATGCCATATCAGTTGTCCTCCCTGTCCATTAGTGCTAATGGTACTGCTCTCACAAAACCTGTTAGTTGTCATTAAGAAGTTATCAGATAACGAGAAAATAGAGGCATTTTTATTAAATCAATTTACCATACTGGGGTTAAAACACATTAAAAGGAAAACTCAACTAGGACAGTTATAGAGTAACTAGAAAATGTGGAACAAGATTTTATAAATTTATCAAAATAATCCAATTTGGACAATTTCAAAATTAAGTTTTTCCTTTATCACCACCACAGAGAATTCATCACTATTATATTATTAAGGAATGACAAATAAATTATTTCCAAAATCAAAGGGAAAAACCTAAATGTATAAACTTTAATTTTAAGTGCTATTTGAGAACCCAGAAATTGAAAAAATAAAAAGAACAGAACAGAAAAGAAAGAGTATTGCTGCGTAGGAGATCCAAGTACATATTCAACTAATATATTTACATTTATAATTGCACAGTGAAAAAAGAGTAAAAATTTAAAAATTAATCCGTCTACAGTTATGTAACCTCTATAAATCCACATCAGAAACTGTCAGAGAGAGAGAAATATTAATCTTTCTGAGAAAGTGATATAATGAAATGGTTGTGAATTTATTTTAAGATTAACATCTTCTTAAAGAGCATGTACTACATGACTTTTAAAATTTTTTCCATGTTACATCTCAAAAAATATTACATAGAAATGAAAAAAACTGGTAAGAAATAAGAAATTTTTATTTTCTATTTTCAATGATAGTCTAGGTGAATCAGGTTAATCCTCCCAAAGAAAACAAGTAGAAAAAATTGGGGTGGGGCGGGGGAGGGGGGGTTGTTCAACTCTGCTTGAACATATGGAGTATTTAACAAGAATGTGAAGAGTTCTTAGGTCAAAATCCAAGAGAACAAGGAAATATTTTAGGCCTAGACGCATTTGATGATTCTAGGGAGGGCTACTAAGAGACTGAGTGGTTTTTTCGATAGACTTGGGGAACTATGTTCAAGGGGTCAATTGGGTGACCTTCCCTCCATGCCGTGGTTGGGAACCTGAGGGATACAGAATAGACAAAAGAGAGAACCAGTAGTAATGAGGTTGTCAGAGCTATTTCAGGTAAACATTATTTAAAACATTTCATTTCAATCCCTAAAATTGGATTAAAATTATCCAAGACTGACCGTGTTGCAGAACTCTGATACTATATCAAATTTAAAATTGTTTCTAAAGATTTTTGAAATACGATCTGGAAAACCATGAGTCAAGACATTATAAGTAAGGACCAGCTGAAAAAACAAAAATACACTGAAAACAAAACCAAATATTGGAGTTATCAGAAACATACTTAAAAATAAGGGTGTTTAAACAACTTGGTAATTTGAAAAAAACTGAATTCTAGAGGATCAGAAATTATCACTATCCACTAAAATATTTCATCAATGCATATGTTTTTGTGCATGTATTAAAATAACCATTCCCCTTTTCCCTCTAATATTAATATTATACTAACTGTGTATGATGCCAGTTGGGTACTGATATATCAGGGGGATTACACTGTAAAGCATATGATTGTGTAACCAATATGCATCCAAAACTAATGCAAATTCACATGGAATGCAAACTATAATTTTTTAAATTATTTAATTAAAAATATTTTAAAAGAAATGTGACTTATGTTCATAGTTATATTTTTCGTTTATTTTATAAATTTACAAACAAGAATACAAATAAGCATTAAAAACAGGCAAATGCGATTAACAAAAATTAAACATTACCACTTTATTCAAGTGCTACTGGAAGAATTTTATACATTGCCAGAGCTGACAATGAATGTCAATTAACATGACTTTCATTGGTAACCAAGGGTCTATTGGGAACTGACTGGAGGGTGTGATCATCAACATAATTTTTACAGTTAAATGTGGAAGATCTGAGTGTATTTCTCACAGTTTGCAATATTGGAGCATAACAAGTAGGAAGTTCGAGCTTATTCTTTTCAAAGCATATTTAGTCTAGTCTCATCCCAGCATGTCCACTTTTAGCGACGGTTAAACAGCTTACCAGTTACTGAATAAAGCAGGCCGCTTTCCTTTTATGAAGGCACACAAAAACATAATTATAGCAAAGAGCTGAAAAACTGTCCACCATCACATAACTGAAAATTATTCTACATGAAAATGCAATGAGCTATCCTGAGGCAAGTGTATGAAAGGTCAGTCTAAAAAGAACTGAATATTTGAGAAATGGACCTCTTGTAAACTAACTGAGTAACACTGATGCTACCTAATTACTCTGTCTGAGATTTCCCTTCCTTGAAAGAACCATCATAATTCTGGCACAGCCAATGGAGAGAAGTAAGCAATTTTTTTAATAAAGATTCTGACATCTAAAATACAGAGTGCTGTAAGCATAAAAACATGCTAAAACACTTCATTGTAAGCATTTGTGATCAGTCTTGAAGTATTTTTGTATGTTTCACACGAAAACAGTGTGACCTTTGATTGCCCCCCTGTGGTTTGCTTTAAACTGTTGTTCTCTTCTGAATAGTTGTGCTTTTTATTACATGCTGTCATTTAGATTCGCTATGTCACCCCTATTATTAGAATTGTTTTGTTGTATACTTCAGAATTCAAAAGGATAGTGATTATAAAAATACCTTATAATCAGCATAAAGTTTACGAGCACACACACAGAAAGAAGTCATGTGACAAACATGCAAGGGGCAGCCTATGACTAAAAGGAACCTTAGAATGTGCAAGGGATCTGACTCGGGTTTTCTTAAAGAATAGTACTTTTTTATGCCAACTAAAGATTCATAAATGTTAAAGGACGCAAAGGGATGTCAGTTTAGGTAGAATAATGCTAATCACACATAAAGAATCCAGAAGTCACTACTTAGGACGTGTACAGCTTCTTTCAAAAGTGGAATTAATTACATAACAGACTTTACTCTAGCTAACAGACTTAAATATTTAAAATTGGGTAACTATAAACCCTATAATGATTACAATATAAAATAAAGTATTACTTATGAACTTTAAGAAATTAAATACCTAATCATTGAGCCACCAATTCTCATGAGACATGAAATAAGTCTGACTTACTTCTTAAGGTTATTACACTTGTGGATGAAAAGGGGAAGAGACCATCTCAATCCAATTCAGGGGAGAAACTTGATAATTACTCCAAATAATCACAACTCCCAGGGACTACTGGATACTCACTTTAGCAGCACTAATGACTGTGGCAGTATAAGACTGATTGTTGTCCCCACAGGCTCCACCACGGGACTGATGACATCGAATCAACTGGAAAAAGAAAGAGAGAGAAATCAGAAAGTCATTTCTATTAAACTGTTTAACTCTACAGGCTATTAGGACAGAGCTTATTTACCATGCATGATGATGGTGGTGGGTGGAAATGTTTGTACAAGTGTATTTCATACAAACAGCCAAAAGCCCTGCTCAGACACTTTTAGCCCTTTTTATAATCTACTGGTGCCATTCAGGCCGTTTCATGCTCAAATGCGATTTTTAATTACAAGATGAATAGTTTTTAAGAATTCATAAACTCTAAAATAGTAGAATTTGGGCTCTGGCAGCCTTTCCACAAATAAAATTTAAAAACATAATCAAAGGACTTACACATGACTTCCTAACATTAAATATTTAACATGCTAGCAAATTAGGGGTTTTGTCCTCTTAATTCCTACATAAAGATTGTAAAAGGAAACCTAAAAAAAATAGACAAAAGATTGTGCCATATTTTCATTTTCAACTATATCAGTGGAAAAGTGGCACAAATTACGCATAAATCAACTATGACACATATAGTAGCTATCCACTTCAGAGGGTTTACTAGTTTTACCATTAGAATGAAAAAGACATGCCCCTATTCATGTCTGATGTAAATATATTGACCTGCCAATTTTCAGAGTAAATCACTAGTTTGACAAACATGATTCTCTCATGTGCTGAGCAATAACTGGTATTAAATTCTCCACTGCTCCTACATTTCCTAAATTTGGTGGGGGGTGGGGGGAGAGAAACATATATATTTATACAGTATCATTAGCCAAATTCTTACATTTACATTTGTAATGAAATAACAATAACAGAGTGCTAGAACAGTTCCATGTTGTGATACGAATTATTACAAGCCAATAGAATTCAAAAAGAACCTACCTCTCCAAACATAAAGAAACAAAAATGTTTTATATAATTTAAAACCAGGTCATTTGATAAAGATTAATATGTAAACCTTTTATTCTTTTAATCTAAAATCAAATTCTCCTTCTTCACTAACAATGTATAAAAAAACAATCCCTCAAAGCAATAACAATATCTGTATATATAAAAGGCTAAGTGATTGGTTCTCAGTTCTCGGGTGACACACCCCAGAACCAGAGAGAAGGGAGCCCAATTCCTCATTGTTGCTGGGGCACTGTGGCCCCGAATCTGGTTTACTGCATACTTGTGTTTGCGTTCCAAACCCTGTAGGACAGCAACTCTCACACTCTGGGACCCCTTGGGGGATGTCAGAGAGACGGTTTCAGCGTGATCCCTGCAGGCCAGGCTGAGGGACCCCTCCTGCCAGAGGGACTCTGCTCACTCCACAGATGCTGGGGAGGGACCGGGAAGGTTGGCTCCAGGACATGTCAGGCCCATCTCACCCAGCCCCGCCCCACCGGCCACCTTCTAATTAATTTCCTTTCAATGTGCACAAATCCATGCACTGGGTCTGTAACTAGTATATATTATAATGAAATAGTTTTGAAGGTCTGATGTGAATGATTGCTGCCAAACTGAATGATTGCTTAAGTAGATAGAGTTCAAGGTCAATGGTGAGGAATTGTCCAAATGACAGGTGATCAACAGCAAATGTGGTTTAGTTAATAAAAAGAATCTATCTGCTGAAGCCGGTTTGGCTCAGTGGATAGAGCGTCAGCCTGCGGACTGAGGGGTCCCGGGTTCGGTTCCGGTCAGGGGCATGTGCCTGGGTTGCTGGCACATCCCCGGTGGGGGGTGTGCAGGAGGCAGCTGATCGATGTTTCTCTCTCATCGATGTTTCTGGCTCTCTATCTCTCTCCCTTCCTCTCTGTAAAAAATCAATAAAATATATATTTTTAAAAAAGAAAAAAAAAGAATCTATCTCACTCATTCACCCACTGCCTCACTCATTCATTCATTCATTCACATTCAAAAAGAATACCGAAAATTATCCCTCTGCTGCCTCCTGCCTCAAATGGAAGGAGAAAGAGAGGACAATTGTTGGTGTCCAACTAAAACCAAAACCAAATCAAAGAAAACAAACCAGTAAGTTAAATAGTCATCACTGGTTGGTAATCGCTTTGGAAAATTTGGGAGTGAGTGGTCCATTACCAATAATCCAAGAGTCCTGCCTTACCTTGTTTTCTGCATAAGCCAGCCAGCGGCTCCCAAGAGCAATAGGATTCATGTTGGGCCCTGGACAAGGATAGCAGCCTGGAAAATTTCAAATGGCAATATTTAGAAATTTCTTAATAAATTTTCTGTTGATGTACCATATTTTGATGCCATTAAAACATAACAAACAAATGCTTTTTTTTTCAAGTTTCACATAAAATTACCATAATACTAGTCATGATTCTAATAACTAAATGAGGTTTTTTATTTTTTCCTCTACAGTTCCCCTTTCATTTTTTTACTTTATTCCAAGAAGAAACAAATCTGGTAATCACTTTTCGCAAATATTGAGCATTTTATACAGTTATTCCTAGAACAAGAGAGAGAAGCTGAGGCAAATCGTTTTAAAGTTTGTAAGTCTACAACTTCATAAGTCAAGCAACAATGTTTGAAGAGGCCAGAGGAAGGATACAGTTGGTCCAGGAATTTAAGGGCAAAAGATAAAGAATACATACACCTAAAAGGAAAAGAAGATACGATGCACAATTGAGGGGGTGGGGGGAGACAACCACTTAAGTATGAGGCCAAAGAGAAGAAATCCACAAAGGGTGCCTCATTAGAAAGATGTTGGGGAACTATTTACATAATCGAGTCCAGCCAATAAAAAAATAACAGAAAGGATTATTTTGTGGTTCTCTCCTTTCAACAAGAATAAATCACGAGAAACCAAGATGGCGGCATAGGTAAACACCGGAGTTTGCTGCCTCAAACAACTACTTCAAAAATACAACTAAAAGACGAAACAAACATCATCCAGAACCACAGGAAGGCTGGCTGAGTGGAAATTCTACAACTAGAAGGAAAGAGAAAAGCATATCGAGACTCAGAGGAGGAGCAGTGCGGAAGTAAAATACTAAGGTACAGAGGCACACGCGGAGCGGGCTGGCGGCTGAGGGTGCGGTTGTCGTTTTCAATCGGGAGGGAGTCTCAGGCTCTGAGCTCCAGTTCCAGATGAGTCTCTGGGGACCCAGACTCATATGGGAGAAGCAGGACTGTGTGGCATCGGTCAGGACTGTGTGGCATCGTTCGGAACTCAAGGGCAGCTTTCTCTCGGAGGGGCTTGCAGCGAGTCTCTGAGAACAACCATAACCGCTAGCCCCGGCCTGTAGATCCCGTGGGACCCACCCCACCCAGGCCCTGCAGGGAGGCTTTTGCTGGATAGCCTAAGGCAGAGGCTAGATTAGCACCTCCCTAGAGATCCAGGAGCCAGTGTACCCAGAGGTCAGAGTGGGACCATCCAGTTTGAGCTCTGTGGAACCATAAAGGACACACTCAGGGGGCAGACCAAAGCCCCACTGAAGCAAGTCGTGCCCTGGAGGGATGTCTCCAGCACAGAAGTTCTCCCACTGCAGACACAGCTGATTCTCACAGCCAATTGGCCTAGAGGTCAATTCCTCCCAGTGATACCTACAACAATCAAGGCTTAACTACAACAAGACTGTGCACAAAGACCACAAGGGGGTGCACCAAGAGTGTCCTCCTCAGGTAATTGGGGAGGCTGAATCACTGGACCCTAGAGGACACGTAGCACAGAAAACCACTTTATCAACACAGGGAAGCATAAAAAATGCGGAGACAAAGAAAAAGGACACAAATGACAGAAATGGAGGTGAGCAAACTACTGGATATAGAGTTCAAAACCACACTTTTAAGGTTTTTCAATAATTTTCTAGAAACTGCCGATAAACTTAATGAGACCTACAAGAAATCTAATGAGACCCTCGAGGTTGTGATAAAGGACCAACTAGAAATTAAGCATACACTGACTGAAATAAAGAATATTATACAGACTCCCAAAAGCAGACTAGAGGATCACAAGAATCAAGTCAACGAGAAAGAAAGTCAGTACCTACAAGGAAGTACCCATACGACTGTCAGCTGATTTCTCAACAGAAACTTTCCAGGCCAGAAAGGAGTGGCAAGAAATATTCAAAGTGATGAATGCCAAGAACCTACAACCAAGATTACTTTATCCAGCAAAGCTATCATTCAGAATCGAAGGTCAGATAAAGAGCTTCACTGATAAGAAAAAGCTAAAGGAGCTCTGGGGAGGAGAGCGGGTCTGGGAGAGGTGACCGGGTGTCTGGCACTGAGTTATTCCTGACCAGCCAAACCTAAGTGGCCATTTTTCTCCTGAGGAACCAGGCCCTCCCAATAGTCTCAAGGCAGCTGGTGCAACTGCACCCAGACTAAACCCTGAGCGGTACGAAGGAAACAGGCTCTGAATAACCTTAAAGAGTCCTTAAGGATGAGGACAGTGGGTGGGGAGTGAGGGAGGAGGGTGGGGTAGGAACTGGGTAGAGGGGAGTTATGGGGGGAAAAAAGAGGAACAACTGTAATAATCTGAACAATAAAGATTTTAAAAAAAAAAGAAATCACATATTCCTGGCAGTGGACACCATCTATGCATAGAAACACCAATGAACTCTACTAACCAAGACACACAAAATTTAGTCAAGTATGTGATGTCTGTCATCCTCGAGGCTCTCATCTCCTCTCCTGGCTGTGCCAATAAAGTGTCTTGAGGCTATCACCCTCATCTGTCAACTACACAAAATACTATTCCACTGTCTCACAAAACTGCTTTTTATTTTTCAACTACAGTTTGCATTTAATATGATTCTGTATTGGTTTCACGTGTGCAGCATATTAGTTAGACAATCATATACTTCACAAAGTGTACCCCTGATATTTTCAGTACCCAACTGGCATCATAGATAGTTATCACAATATTATTGACTTTTATTTCCTATACTGTACTTTACATCCCCATGACTATTCTGTAACTACCAATCTGTACTTCTCAATCACTTCACCTTTTTCACCCAATCTCCCAACCCCTCTCCCTTGTAGCAACCATCAAGTCTGTACTCTGTATCTATGAGTCTGTTTCAGTTTTCACAGAAATGCTTGAAAGGGACTAGTCGAAAGACTGCAGAATGAAAGAATGCAAAAGGCCTAACTTAAAGGACTCCTGGTTTATCATTCCAAAAGTATCTGGTTAATATTTTCACAAATGTTTTTGTCTTAAATGTACACTCCAGGATCAAGCTAAGGTTATCTATTTCATAGTTTAAGTCTCAATTTGGAATCTAAATTTTTGCAATCTTGAGGCAAACAAGATTTTATAACAATAACCTTTTCTTCCCATGGCAAAAATAAATAAAATAAATAACCAAATTACATAAACATAGTATCAAAAAATAGCATTTCTACATTTCAAACTGCACTGCTCACATACACGCTACCTAGCAGAAAGTCCCAGTCTGTTATCGATCATAAAAGACATAGAGTAATCAATGCAAGATAGCTTATTCAAAAGCATACTTCTTAATAAAATTAACAAATTAAAGCATATTTATTAGGTAACAGCCAAAAAAGTGATCTACATAGAAGTTTTTTTCAAATATTAAAATAGTGTGCTCAGCTAAGAGCCAGATATTTTAAAGCCAATTTTGATAGAGATCTTTTTTAAATGTATATTCCATGGTTCCCTGAATTCAGAGAGCCTTGTGAGAAGCAATAGCCATCATTTTGAAAGGTTGGTGTTGCTGTGTTCACAAACACTGGATAAACCCACACTGATGTTGCTTCCATTATATACTAGTTTTCATTTTACATCCTTCAACTGCCATCTATCTTTTTTTTATTATTATTGATTTCAGAGAAGAAGGGAGAGGAAGAGAGAGATAGAAACATCAATGATGAGAGGGAATCATTGATCGGCTGCATCCTGTAGAGTGGACCGAGCCCGCAACCCAGGCAAGTGCCCTTGACCGGAATCGAACCTGGGACCCTTCGGTCCGCAGGCCGACGCTCTATCCACGGAGCCAAACTGGCTAGGGCTTATCTTGAGATTTTATTGTAAAAGAAGATTTAAAAATGTATGTTGCTATATCCACTTAATGTTAATTATGGCTAAATATTAGGGGGAAAAACATAGGACAAAGGCCCATTAAAATAGTGCAAAACAACCCACTCTAACAAATAGTATGTATCATTTAGATAAAAGATTTTATTTCTATACTCCCATTGAGTAAACTAATCCTACTCATACAAAAATGTGCTTTTATATATGTGCATGCTTATATTCCACAGACATTTTTAGAGCTAGAGAAAGGAGTATAGGTATGGTGCATAAGAAAGTTTCCCCCTTTTCAATGTCATTAAATAAAGAATATTGAATTGTGGCATTATATAAGAGGTAGCGAATCTCCTGAAATTTAAAGTCAACATAATCTAACTCTCAATTCTAATAGCCATTTTGCCTCACTAGATCCTAATAAGTATATATTCTCCTTTCTAAAACAAAAGCATAGTACGGAAAAAATATAGTTAACAATTCATTTTACTTTTAGAGTCAAGGTTTTTAGAAACTCAGTGGACCTCAAGAGTTACAGTGTATTGGGATAAAAGCAAATTGTTTTTCTGCTCTTCAAAAACATTTTACAGCTGGAATCAGCAGAACATCAGCCACTCAGCACTATCCCAACTTTATAAGCATGACTCCTTTAAAGATTAACTGTTGCCTCCAGCTAAACTTTGAAAACAAGTGAAGGGGGGGGGGGGGGAACCAGGCCACTATAAAGTTAGGACTAATTCTAACAAGTTTACAATGTTTGTGAACAAAGTAAAGAAGAACTAGATATTTTAAAAGTTGGGTTCCTAAATTTAAATAAAGATAAAATTCAAGAAAAGCATAATAAATGAAGATTCTTCCATTATTAGAGTAATTAAAAAGGCACAAGACATACAATTTAGAGGGCATCCTCCCAGAAGCTGGTCCTAATGGAGAGTTCGCCTGAACTCATTTTGAAAACCAAAGAGTTTAACCACTCTCTGTAACACTCTGCTTATTTTTCTTGGTAAGAATAACTCAAAAGAGTTCAGACCTTTGTGGGGGCAGGGAGAATCTGATGTCTGCATTTATGGTCAACTGACTTTCAACAAGGATACAAAGGCAAGTCAATGAGGAAAGAATAATCTTTCCAACAAATGATGGGTCATCTGGATATCCATGTGCAAAAGAATTAAACTGAACTTTGACCTCACACAGCATACAAAAATTAACTGTAAATGAATCAAAGACATATAAGAACATATATACATAAATCATAGACACAGACCACAGTGTGGTGATCGCCAGAGGAGAGGGAAGGGTGGGCTGGGTGGAAATGGCAAAAGGAGTGGGGTTGGGATGGAGACAACTTCATTAATGTCAACAATAAAAATAAAGTTAAAAATGAAAAAGCTAAAAGTATTAACCTCTGTAACAAAATATAGTGGTAAAGCTGCATAATCTTAGGTTAGGCAATGCTTTCTTAGATATGACACCAAAAATAAGTGATTAAAAAAATAGATAAATCGAACTTCATCAAAACGAAAACTTCTGTGCCTCAAAGAACACCACCAAGAAAGAGAAAAGACAATTCACAGAAGTGGAGTTTTGCAAAACATGTACCTGATAACTGACTACACCTAGAATATAAACAGAACTATGACAATGAGGAAAATACAACTCAGTATAAAATTTAACAAAGAAGATATAAGATGGCAAACAAGCCATGAAAAGATGCTCAACATCACTAGCCATCGGGGAAATGCAAATTAAAACTAGAATCAAATACCACTTCATGAGACCCTAATAGAATGGCTATAGTCAAAGAAACAATAACGATCGTCAGCATCAATGTGGAGAAATTGGACCCTCAGACACTGCTGGTGGTGATGTAAAATGTTGCAATCACTCTGCCTGGCAGCTCTTCAAATAGAGAAGGATAGAATTACCATATGACCAAGCAATTTGACTCCTAGGTACATACCCAAGAGAAATGAAAATGCATGTCCACACAAATACTTGTATCCAAAAGAAATGAAAAAATATTTCCCCATAAAAACCTTTCACTCAAAAAAGCATTATTCATAATAGCCCAAAAATGGAAACTAAAGGTCCATCAATTGATAGACAAAATGTGTTATTAAGCATACTATTATTCAGCAATAAAAAGAAATTAAGAATAACATTCCATCATCTGAACATACCAGTTTATCTGTCCACTCACCCACTAAAGAACAACCTGGTGGCTTCTACATTTGGCAATGTGAATAAAGCTGCTATAAATACCATGGGCATGTTTTTTAAGTGGACATAAGTTTTCAACTCCTTTATATAAATGCCCATTGATAGATAAATGTCTGGTTTTATGAGAAACTATCAAACTGTCCATTAGAGTGGTTGTACTATTTTGCATTCCCAGGAGCAATATATGAGATTTCTTATTGCTCTACATCTTTGCCAGCATTTGGTGCTACCAAATAGTCGGCATTTTGGCTTTGTCTAATAATGTGTTGGCATCTCATTATTGTTGTTTTTGTATAAATATGATTTTATTGATTTTTTTAAAGAGAAAAACTAAGGGAGAGAGATAGTGAGATACAAAGATCCATGAGAGAAAAACATCAATAGGCTGCCTCCTGCACGCCCCCACACTGGGGATTGAGCCTGCAACCCACGCATGTGCCCTGACCAGGAATCCAACCATTGACCTCCTGGTTCATGGGTCCATGCACAACCACTAAGCCACACCAACCAGGCTGTTTAAATTTAAATTTCAATGATGAACTACCATTGCGAGAATATTTTCATATGCTTATTTGCCATCTGAATCTTCTTTTTTCTACTTAAGGTCTTTGAACCATTTTTTAATCAGTTTGTTTTCTCCTTGTTGAATATTCAGAGTTTATGTATAGTCTGGATAATGGTCCTTTATTAGATGTGTCTCCTACAAATATTTTCTCCCAGTCTGTGGCTGGTCATCTCATTCTATTGACAATGTATTTTACAGAGCAGAAGTTGTTAACTGCAATAAAGTCCACCTTATCAATTATTTATTTCATGATACAAAGCCATCACCATGCCCAAAGTCATCTAGGTTTTCTCCTGTTATAGTATATACATTTATACTTTTGTGTATTGCACTTATAATTAATTTTAATTTTTATGAAGGATATAAGGTCTATATCTAGATTCAGTTTTTGGCACATGAATGTCCACTTGTCCCAGAACCTTTTGTTGAAGATATCTTTGCTCCATTATACTACCTTTGCTTATTTGTCAAAGATCTATGTCTGTACCCTCTATTCTGTCCCGCTGATACATCTGTCTATTCTTTTGCCAATGTCCACACCAAAATTGAACCCTAAGGCAAACTACTGGCATTATATGTTTTATGGATTGGGTAAATTTATGCTGACATATATCCATCATTGTAATATGATAGAGTATTTTCACTGCCCTACAAATTCTCTGTACCTATTTATCATTTCTGCCCTCTCCATTTTACCAGCAGCCACTGATCTTTTAACTATCTCCATATCTTTGCCCTTATGCATCCATAGACTTTTCCTGAAAATATAGGTAAAATTTTATGTTTGGCTTTTCTTAACATTATCTTATAAGCATTTTACATATTTCCATGAAAGTATCATGAAAATAAAATAATTATACATGCTAATTTTAAAAAAGAAACATTATAAGAGTATTGCCATTATAAGGCTAAACAGGTAGGAATAATGTGCAGAGAATAAGAAAGCCTTAAGTGATTTCATTGCACATATTCGCTGAGTGTCCACTATGTATCAGGCACCAGGCTGTGAAAACACCATGGCAGCCTAGTCACCATGGCATTCCTAGTATATAAATGGGAAATCAAAAGAAGAGACATAGATTTGACTTTTACCTTTAGCTGGACTGAGTTCTCACATTAACATTCCAAACCTATCTTAGATAATTTACAAATTTGCCTCTAAACATTAAAGAAAAAAATCTATTTCAAAATTAAAAATAATTGTACATTTTTAAGATCCTTTAAATTCATTCCTTACATTTCTTATTCATCACGAACATACATGAAGAACACATCTTAATACTAAGAAATGACATTAGGACTATAAGGAATACATGTTCCTCCTCCAAGTAAAAATGGGAGCCAAGGAAAGAGTCACTTACTTACTATATAATCCTTTGCTCTCTCTCTGGAGAATTCCTATCTGCTTTTCAATTTAAGCACACTGGAAATGACTGCTAATGACACCTATCAGTCCTTGTCTTTTGTTTTCTTAATCATACATGGGTTTTAGATTTCCACATCAGACAGCTGCTCAGGGCCACCTTTTCTGTATAGCCAAAGACAAAGGTGTCTCCTTTCTCATCATACTGGCTGTGTTCCCTTTCCAGTTCTCTATCAGCTCTCTTTACCTGATCCTTCTCCCCTTTGGCACAAATTCCCAAGATGCTTTCTCTGATGGACACAGCTGTCTCTACTAATTTTACAGTCCCGATTCATACATAACTAAGGTACTCACAATTGTATAACACAAGAGCTTTTCAAAGTATTTTAGAAATTAAATGCTTGCATGATCAAAACGATATCCTCATAGACCAATGGAACAGAACTGAGAATTGAGAAACAAACCTACATGTGTACGGGCAACCAATTTTCAACAAAGGCGCCCAAAACACACAATGGAGAAAACAAATAAACGGTGCTGCAAAAATGAGAAGGCCACATGCAAAAGAATGAAACTAGAGTATCTGCCACCATACCCAAAAATTAACTCAAAATGGATCAAGGACCTAAGTATTAGATCCCATGAAAATATAAAACACATAGAAAAAAAAACATAGATAGTAAACTTTTGGATCTTGGTGTCACAGAGGACTTTATAAATTTGACTCCCAAAGGCAGGGAAGTTAAAGCAAAAATATGAAAAGATGCTCAAATTTACTGGCTATAAGGGAAATGCAAATGAAAACCACAGTGAGATATCCCCTCACACCTGTCAGAATAGCTATTATGAAAAAGTCAACACACAACAAGTTGCCGAAGATGTGAAGAAAAGGGAACTCTCATGCACTATTGATGGAATTGTAAGTTGGTATAGCCACTATGAAAAATAGTATGGTGATTCGTCAAAATTTTTAAATCAGAACTACCATAACACCCAGCAATTCTATTTCTGGGTATTTATTCAAAGAAAATGAAAACTATATGCATCCCTATGTTCACTGCAGTACTATTTATCATTACCAAGACATGGAAACAGCCTAGATATCTATGCTAATTTAAAAAAAAAAGATAAATGTATAAAGATACACACACACACACAAACACACAATGAAATATTACTTAGCCATTAAAAAGAATAAAATCTTAACATCTGTGACAACATGGATATTATGCTAAGTGAAATAGACAGAGACAGACAAAAACTACCATCTTACTAGACTACAGTAGAAAAAAAGTTCTAACTCCAGACTTCCTTCAGAATCAATTCTTGCTGGAATTTTCATCCTTCTAGCCTGCCCTACAAATCTTAGTCTTGTCTATTACATTTTCAAAAAAATCCCTCTCCCTCTCTACCCGTGTGTGTAGATTCTATGCTTATTTCTGCACTTCTGGGCAGTAGTAGAAGTCTGAGGATGTAGGGCAAAGGAGGAGGTAGAGAGATAGGCTCACACATATCACCCGGGTATGGGCTAGAAGGGGTCAATGTGGGGGGAGAAAGAGACATCTGCAATATTTTCAACAATAAAGATAAAATTTCTTTAAATTCCTCATGTGTGATAATACAGTTACCTCATGTATGTTATGATAATTAATTAAACAACTGCTTTAAAAGTACAACATAGCTACATGAGGAGAATATATAAAAAGAAACTGAAGCAATCTAGTACAAGGCTTGCTTAGTAATATGTGGAAAACGTATTGTGAGTTGAAAATTCATAACCTAAAATTATAGTATAAATAAGACATCAACAGAAATATAGGAATATCCTAATAATTGAATCCCAGGAAATATCAAGTTGGTACATACTTGTGACAAAAAACTTTTTTGTGAAAGTACAGCTATCAAAGGCAGCAATTTTCTCCTGCAAGACTACGACAAGGATCCTAAAATTAGAAAGAAAAAAATTTAAAAATATGAGTGTGAAAGTCTATTCTATAGAATCATAAGTAAGTTAAATCATCTAGATGTAAACAAGTATCTATCTTTAAAACTTTAATAAAATCAAGCATTTCTTATACAATTTAGTCTAGAAATATATGTCTCATAAAAGGCAAAAATATAACCACAAAACCCTTAATAATCAAGATAGACATTAGTGGAATAAAAGTGACAGAGAACCAACTACATCTCAAAAAAACTTTTCCTCTGAACAAAATTTTGTCTCCACTCATTATAAATCAAATAAATCTATGTTCATTAAGAATGTATGAGATCAATAAATCGCTGGCTATTTACTAAAAGTATTTTTCCACTTCTGGCTCAAAGTCATGAAATTGAACATAAAATGGATTTATCTAATTTGTCGCTTAAAATTATTGCTGAATTCCCCAACACAAAAGCAAAAAAAAAACAAAAAACAAAAAAACTCAAACAACTATTATTCAGGGTAAATGAGTCATTTCTGATTGACTCAATATATTAAAAGTTAATCAGACTCCATATGAACTATAGGTTCTCCCAGAGATTTACAAATGATTAGGAAAATAATTTATTTACAAATTTTCTTAAACTGAAATTCCTAAAATACATCCCAAATAAAGTTATATTACAAACTACATTTTAGAGCTGTTCCATGCAAAGACATTAACAGGCAAATTTCAAAGTTTTTAAAAATCAAATAAGGATTATAATGATTGGCAAGTATTTAACATATTCATTGTAATAATTTGATATGTAATAGTATAACTACATTATCCCACCAATAAGGTATTCCTCCTATCTATAATAATAAAAGTGTGATATGCTAATTACACGGGATGCCCTTCCTACCGATCTTCCCTTCCGAGGGAAGCCCATATCGTGGGCTGAGAGCAGCCAGAGGGAAGCCCAGGGCCCGGGGCCAGAGGGAAGCTGGTGCCGACAGCCAAGGGAAGGAAGGCCTACTCTTGCACAAATTTTGTGCATCAGGCCTCAAGTTTCCTATAATTTTGAGTTTGATATTACTGAAGTCGAAATATGCATAACAATTAGACCTTCAATATGAATTGTATACTATCACTGAGTAGTTTTTCTTTGCCTGTTTCTTACAATCAAATGCTTTTACATTAGTAACAACGCCAATGTGTTCTTTATATTTATCGCGTATGTCTACCTTTCCTATTACATTCAACCATTCTGAGTCACTTTCTAAAATATTTCTTTAAAATCTAACCTAAATCTTTTATTATAAAATTTATTTTATGTTGAAACAGCACAAAATATTTAATTTTCCATGTTCTGTGTGTTTGCTTTTTAATGCAATGGAAGAACTATACTTTGCACCCATGACCTTGATCAAGACTTTTATGATCGTAGGGCTTCAATTTGCTCAATTGTAAAAGTAAAGTATTGAGTAACAGAAGATTCTTAGGGTCCCTTTCTCCTTCAATGTTTTGTACTTAAAATAAAATTAATTCTTCATTATTACTAGGTCAGGCGGAAGTTCAAGCCAGATCTGAAAATTTTCCTAGAGAAATTAACAAAACAGATCTTAATGAAGGGAAACATTATCTCAATTGTAGTCTTAAGGAATAAGGGGGAAAAAATCTTTTTTTGCATTCACAGTGCTAAAAGGAAAATACATTTCATAAATCAATAAACACAGAAGTGCATACATAATACTAAAAAGTTAAGTGATACATATAAAATCATTTCTCATAACCTTTGTTTGCTCAGATACTTTCTATTCTTTTCCATTTCATTTTTAAAACACTGGTTACAATTCACTAAATTTAATTCAAAATTCACTAATGAGTCAAGACTAAAAATTTGAAAACATTTGTTAAGAAATCTTAAGAGCTACTCCATTTAGCAGAATTCAAAAGGTGTTTTTGCAATTAAAAACAAATCAAAGATAGTCAATTATTTTGGCAGGGCTCCACATGCCCAGAAGATATGTTACTTTGTAAAAGAAATACATGAAAAAAAAAATGCTTACCGCTTATTGCAATGAAGATCATAGATAGGAGTTTTAAACTGAATGGATTTGACCATTTCCCCAGTACGAAGTGAATACAGATCAACACAACAGTAAGGTGGGCTAGTGCTAAAAAAAAAAAAAAAAAAGACAAATGCCATTAGTTTTCACAAGGTAGGATGGCCAATAAACTCTATATTTTCTCTATGAAAAGGTGAAGAGCTTGAGAAATACAGATTGGTAGTTACAAAATAGTCATGGGAATGTAAAGTATAACAAAGGAAATATAGTCAATAATATTGTAATGTCTATGTATGGGGCTATGTGGGTACTAGAAATATCAGGGAAACACTCTGTAAAGTATATGAGTGTCTAGCTACTATGCCATACATCTGAAACCAATACAAAATAATATTGAATATAAATTATAAATTAAAAAAATGTTAATTAAAAAAAATGTTAGTGAGAATGTGGAGAAAAGGGAACCCTTTTGCACTGTTGGTGGGAATGGGAACTGGTGCAGCCACTATGGAAAACAGTATGAAAGTTCCTCAAAAAATTTGTAATTTGTCGTATTTGTTATTCATAATAACAAAAACAGTTAAGTGTTGATCAATAAAGGAATGGATATATTGTGATATATTAATGTAATAGAATGCTTCTAGAATATTACTCAGCAATTTAAAAAAATAAACTATCCATACAATAGAGATGAACCTCAAACCATTATGAAGTAAAAAAAAAAGTCAAGACATAAAAGTTTACATACTGTGTGAGTCCCTTCCAATGAAAAATTAGACAGGCAAAACTATAATAGGAAGCATATCAGTGGTTGCCGGGGACCAGGCAAGGAGGAAAACTATATAGTATAAAGCGGCATAAGAAATTTTGGGGGGTGTGATAGAAATATTGTTGTGTCGTGATTATATTGGGTATTCACACAACTGTATACAATTGGCAAAACTGGGTCGGGAGGGGGAAATCTAGTAAAACTTCAACTTCAATCTCTAAAATTAACACAAGGCAAAAACTCTTCTCTTAATGTTCCCAATAATTAAACTAATCTTCTGCTGAGAAGTAATGAGTTAATAATGAATGAAATTTAACATTTTGCCAGACCAGCTGGGAAGTAAAAAACAGCTTGTCACCTTCAATTAGCAGCTCATTACAGCTACTGGTACATAGAAACTTGAATTCTGATCATTTCACTGACATCATATATTGTCACAACTGAGGTTGTTCCTGCAGAAAGCCTCCCATTGAGGTAGACAAAACTGCAATGAAGGCTGTTTAGAGTTAACATAACAAGACTTGATAGAACTAAAAATTCTATTGGTATGTGCAAAACCCTGCTTAGTAAGTGCCTAATAGAATAAAGATAACTCTTTAAAGTAAGAATTTTCAGAAAGTCACACATTCATAAAGGAGTCACACGTTCTGTCAATAACACAACTGTGTACACGCTTGGCATATCCTTTTGTTCTCTACTTTCTTTTCAAAAGCCTTGACCATTTCCCTGGGACACAGTTCAAGACAATCTTAATTTTCCTCATGGGTAGGCTGACGAGAAAGCTCTCCATAACATCAGCAGTAAATGCAGAAATGACATACAAGGCTTTTACTTTGTACTCTCATATGTACTAAACAGTGACCCAGAAAAAAAGACAATTAAAATTAGATATCAGCAGAATGAAAAAAGTAAAGAAAAATTAAAACAGCTTATGATCAACACTGTCAAATCAATTAAGCTTAACCAACTTATAGAAGACTCCACCCAACAAAAGCAGAATACACTTTCTTCTGAAATGCCCACAATTATATTTAAGCACTGGAGCCCAATGCATGAAATTCATGCAAGAGGCTTGGCCCTCGCAGCCCTAGCTTTGTCCGAAAGCTCATCCAGAAGGTTGTCCAGTCAGTTGTCCAGAATGTCATCAGGATGGTCGTTTGGCTCTTCAGTCTAATTAGCATATTAGCTCTTTATTATACAGGATAAGATGGGCACTTGTGATCTATTCCATTATATCACACTCAAAAGTTACAAACTTTAAAAATCTATCTATCTAGTTAAAAGTCTTCCTAAACCATATATCTTTGATCATTTATTCCAGTTTCAGAATCTATCAATGACACCCGCCCTAGCTGGTTTGGCTCAGTGGATAAAGCATCAGCTTGCAGACTGAAGGGTCCCAGGTTTGATTCCACTCAAGGGCATATGCCTGGTTGCAGGCTCAATCCCCAGTTGGTGGTGTGCAGGAGAAAGCCAATCACTGATTCTCTCTCATCATTGATGCTTCTCTCTCTCTCTCTCTCCGTTTCCCTTCCTCTCTGAATCAATAAAAATATATTTTTTAAATGACACCTCATTGTCACAGAATGTCAACTTTTTATCTAAGCAAATAAAACGCCTGTAATATGGACCAAATTGTGTTAAATATTTAGTGTACATTTTCTTCTTGTACTCTAGTTCATATATCATTAGTGACTATATTTTTTTAAATAAATGGTTTTATTGATATTAGAGAGAGAGGAAGAGAAAGGGACAGGGAGACAGAAACATCGATGAGAGAGGAACATCGTCAATCAGCTGCCTCCTCTATGCCCTCACCAGGAACCAAGCCTACAACCCGGGCATGTGCCCTAAAAGGGAATCCAATCATCAACCTCCTGGTTTCTGGGTCGATGCTCAA